ACTTCTCACACTTTAAACTTCCCTTATTTGTGTGATTTGAAATGTATACACATTTTTAAATTTGTATGTGAAACTATATATAGTCAGTAAGAATGCCTTAGTGTTTAGCATTAAACATTGTTTTTACATTTGATAGAAATTCAGTATGCAGTGTACATTTACACAGCACACTACTTAGATGAGTTTGTGCACTAAAAATTACATAATACAAACACAACATTATAGCCTGTTATTTCCGGTAGGCTAATTCAATGTGGCAACAGAACAACAGAAGTCAACCATTAAAAATGTAAACATCTGTGTTTGGTCCATGCACTTGGCCAAAAATTCTATGAGAATAGGAATTTTTTTTTGACTACACTGCTCGTACATGTTCACTTCAATAGGATTTTGAGTGACAGTCAAGTACATTGAGAATATTTAAGAAGGTGCAGACACATCTTACAAATTTCGCAGGCATAAAAAGTCTCTTTTGTCAACAGTGTAATGATGTATGAAGCACAGCTCACAATAGAGTCACTTTCAAACCAAGCAGCTTTCTGTTGGTCGACACGTGTGAGTGAGAGTGTGTGTGTGTGTGTGTTAGAGTGTGTGTGTGTGTGTGTGTGTGTGTGTTAGAGTGTGTGTGTGTGTGTGAGAGTGAGTGTGTGTGTGTGGAAATCTGTCGTCTTCACGTTAAATCCCCAGTCATGTGGATTCCTTTTAAAATTACTGGAATTCGCAGAACAACAGTAAATGTGACCACACATATAGGTTTTAAATTAATATTTAAAATAGTTATTGATAGCTATTAATAGTTAAAAATAAAAATATCATAAATGATGTAATATTAAAGTTGCAACATAACGGAAGTAGCAAAAGACCCTTTCTTCCATATTGAAATGGAAGTACATCTAATTGAAATGGATTATTTAGAAAAAAAAATTACGTCGGGGACTTGGTTCTGTCCATTGGTTGTTGATTGGACCAAGGCGGATCTTAATGAGGTCAGTTATTAAAAAGTGCAGGATTTAAGTCTTTAGTTTCCCCCAAGTTATGAAATTTTGATTAAAAATTTGTCAAAAAAAAAAACATATCATGGATGAATCGTTCACAATAAGATCAATGACATAAACTCTTAATAACATTCTTAGCAAAGAGATAGAGTGAATTTTCATTTCATGCTAATTTAAATAATATATTAATATTTATAAATTTTATTTTATTTATGCTCATTCATCTTCATATGCTCAGGAACCCATCTGCTTCATGCTAACAGCCATTCTAACATTCTTTCTTATTACTATGGCTTGAGCTTGTTGGTCATGTTTTGTGCATTATGTGTTCTTTTTAATGAAAAAAATAAATCCTGCATTTTCTGTATGGGAATATCAACTGATAACCGTTTGCTAGACACCTGGTCAAACACTGTAACATTGGCATGTCTTTCCACTGCTCCTCTCACCTCTCTCAGCTCCTTCTCTACTCTGAAGTCAGGCAGCGTCTCCAAACAGAAGATGAGGATAGAGACCACAATCACCATCACGCTGATGATGGCGATGATGCGGGCGCCTCCAGAGGACTCAGGGTGTTCAAAGAGCATCCACAGCTTGCGCTGGATCTCATTGTCTGGCAGGGGCCGAGGCTCCTCCTTGGGGAAGCCCTCATCCTCTTTGAAGCGAGCCATGATATCCTCTCCCAGCTCATAAAAACGCAGTTCATCCATGAAGACGTCCAGAGGCACATTGGCAGGCCGCCGTAACCGACCTCCTGACTGATAGAAGTAAAGGATGGCATCAAAGCAGAATCGATTGCGGTCCAGGAAGATCTCATTTCTGAGTGGGTCAAAGTAGCGCAGACGCCGCTGAGGGTCACCGAGCAGGGAGTCAGGGAACTGGGCCAGGGTTCGAATCTGTGTCTCGTAGCGCATGCCTGACACATTGATGGCCAGTCGTTCGGACAGCGCCCAACCTGCTCTCCACATTGAACCAGATCTTCGATTCTCTCTCTTCCTATCACCCTTCTCTTTGTCACCCTTTTCTGCCTTGTTGCGCTGGTCCTTGAGGTTCTTGTCACTTTCGCTGATCTCTTCCTCATCTTGTTTTTTGTCCTCCGTTCCCCTGTCCGATTCCTCTCCTTTGTCCATCTCGTCTTCTTTCTTGTTCACTCAGCCTGTTTTATTGAGTAGAAACACAATCATTTCAGCCAAGCATGAACCCAGCGGTCAAAGGTTTGTTAAATTTGTGTTAGATCTATCTATCTATCTATCTATCTGTCTGTCTGTCTGTCTGTCTATGGAATAATAATGTAATTTAAAACATTTAAACTGAATTACATTGTATTAATTGCATTACACTCAGAAATTGCAAAAAAAATTGAATAATTACAAATACAAACAACAAATAACATGTTGAATTTTATGTGAAAGTAGAAAGACTGAAATAGTATACTTTCTTGAAAAATATACTCCAATAATATATATATTTTTTTATTTACAACAAAATCATTTTTACAGATTAGGTGTAATACAATTTAATTTAATACATTAAAATAAAAAACACATTTATAATGCAAAATACTTTTATCTATTTTCTAATTGGTATAATTGAATTAAAGTGTGCAATAGAATGTGTAATAGAAAAATAATCTGCTCTACAACAAGACATTTATACAATCCCATTCCAGTTATGTAACTGAAGATGGTATCTATACTTAAATACTTCTGCAGAAACTTCTCCTGCCGTTCCATGAAATCATATACAAACATTTCATGTACTCTATCCGAACCCTGTGTTGACTCCTAGAGACAGATCCATTACCACTTTGAACCTCACCCTGAGAATAAGACTACAAGACTTCAGACAAATAAATAAAATTAAATATATAAATCGATAATTAAATAAATACATTTGCCAAAAAAAAAAAAAAAAAATCAAGACTATCAAACCATCCCTGTTAACAGAACCAGTTTATGTGAAGCACCAAAACAACCTGTCAATATAATACAAGTGTAAAACAAGACTTAAATGAAGGTAAGGGGTGAAAAATGTTCAACAAAAGCGTCACAATCCGCTAATATCTCCCAAAAAATCTGAAATTTGGTATTAGGAATACAGAGGTTTGGGTCTCTGAAAAGTTTCTGAGAAGACACACCCTGTTTGTCCCTCCACTTACCCTCTGCCACTAGTGTCCGTAAATCCAGAATAGTTACCCCACGCTATCCGTGTTTCTTCCCTACCTGCAACACACCATGAGCTGTGTATCTACTGTCACCCTTTCAGCCAGACGGTCTACCCTATGAGTCCAACAGGAGGTGTTTTCTCCTGTACCCTGAACCACAAACTCCGTCCTCCACTCGGTCAGTGCCGTAAGGATACTTAAACCTGTTTGTAGGTCACTGTCTTCACTCCCTCTCACGCTCACTGCAGCGCTGGGGAATGCTGTCATGCTGAAATTCAATCCAGAGCCCCTCGTCCCCTCATCAGCTTACTGTCCAAAACACCTTAAAATGCCTGTCTCTCTCATTTGATCCCTTTTATATTTGTATTTTATTTTTTTCATGTATAAATGATAGGTTTTTGCAATTTGTTATTTTATCCCACCCCAGCATTTCTGCCAGGAAACAAAATAATGAATTATTCAGAATATAAAAAAATCTGAATATAATTATACATAATAATGAGCAAAATTGGGGTTCATGTTTAAAATGTGTATATTGGAAAGTGTATCCTAATTTTTTAAACATTTTTTTCAAGGTTTTCAAGTCACTTGTGTATTTCTTTTGTAGTACATTAGTCATGCAGTTCATGATTATGAATTTAAAAATATTCCGTTGCAATATTCCACAAACATTCCAATCTCAGTTAATAATAATAAAAAAAATGTTTAATTATTCTTTGTAGAAATACTGTCTATACTGAAAAATAGTGAATTGAAATATGTCTTTTTTTCAGTTCAGTTCTTACGTTTAATTCCCCCTCCACGCCCCGCAAACTGGTTCTCTTGGACAGTTTGTTTCAATTAACCTGTTCAATAAAAATAAAAAATAAATAAATAAAACATCAACATCATTATATACTATTATCCCAGCACACCTAAAGTCATGTGTAAGTGATAGATGATTTAATAATAATGATGATAATAATAATAATAATAATAAAAATAAGTATATAATAATAATAATAATTAGCATTATTATAATAAATTACACAGATTTAAAAAGCTTTAGCAGTTTAACATTTTATGGTTTTAGTATGTTCCATATTTGAATATTGAATATATATTATCAATATTATAAATACTAATGCATTTTTGTGCTATTTTGTGAATAATAATTATTATTGCGTTTAAATAATTTGTAAATAATTTTAAAATAATTTGAATTAGGCTATAATGTAGCCTAGTACCTTTCATTTTATGATACATAGAGACTTTCAAAACAAATATGTCACAGTTTTAAATGTATTATTTATTATTGTCATATCTTCTTACATTGAAGCCATTAATCAGTGTGATGATTGAGAGTTTTGGACAAACAACGCTGGGTGGCGTAAGTCGACGTTTTATTCACCTTTGGCCTAATAGTAATACATTAAAGTTTTTCAAAGCGCCCAATATATTCAGTGATGTGAAACCCGGATGTTTAACAAGTCCATATAAAGTGAATATAATTTTCTTAATCAACTGACATGTTTACAGAATTCATGAGAACATAAAGAAACTTGCACGTTCCCTCATTCAGGTCCTCGATTCACGTATGCTTGTTTTATCAGAAAGACTCTTGCTCGTTTGTGCAACTTTAGTTCACATCTACACTGACGATTTTTGTGGAAATATTTATAGTGCTATAGTGTTTTTTTTTTTTTTTAAGTAACTGTTGGGACAAAGTATATAAAATACAAAATTAATTTTGTATCAATTATAAAATTAAAGAAGTGTGTTTCAAAATACAGCTATCCAGCTTTGCGATCCTCACACACAAGTTGCACGCATGCTCAGTTTTATGCCGCGGTTCTGCACATCAGACATGTCCGAAAGAGACTGTTCTCAGTTCAGTGTACTAGAGTTTTGGAGTTTGGAGCACCTGCTGGAGCAGCGCTAAATTAAGAAGAGTTTGGAAACCCGGAATTGGATCATATTTCAGACGATTCGGTCGGACTTGGCGAACTGGTTCCTCAAGTTCACTGAATAGCTTCAAAATAACGATTCGTCCAGGAAGCGAACATCTCTAGTTGACACACATGACATCGGGTAGCTACAACTTCTCTATCAGATGACTTCAGTACATTAGGAACCGCTTACTCGACCAGACTCTGTCAGTCCTGTGCAGAAATTTGACATTATTTACATTTGCTGCATAAGTACACATAAGTGAACGTATAACGTAGTAGCATGGCTTGTGCTCAGCGTTATGTCAACAAAGTTGTCATCGTTACTGGGGGCACTAGAGGCATTGGAAGGGGCATCGTTAAAGTGTTTGGTAAGGGTTTATCATATTTATCTTTCCATTGAGTAATCGAAAGAAAAGGGAGAGTAAGTAAAACTAAATTCGTGTTTGCTTTGCAGTGCAAAACGGAGCCAAAGTTGTGTTCTGCGCAAAAGAGAGTATGTGATATGATTTAAATAGCCTTTTAGCTATACGTTTCTTTCACCAGTAAATGCAATAACGTTTCCTTCTTTTTTATAATTGTCAGCTGAATTGTCAGCTGGCCAGTCTCTTGAATCTGCGCTGAATAAGGAAGGACCGGGATCATGCACGTTTGTGTCATGTGACGTGACAAAAGAGGATGACATCAAGGTATCCTCAGGCGTTCGTGTGTCCTTACATTCAATCATAACATCTCTGTCTTACACTTTTCTCTTTCCTTTTTCTTCTTAAACTTGTATTTACATGAGAGCAAATACATAATGCAGAGGAAACGGATAAAATAATAGTAATACTTAACTAATAAGTAATTAACAATTAAACTTTTAAGTTATTTTATTATTTTTGAAAAGGTCTCCATATAAAACTTGAGATCAGTATTATATATAAAAAAAATGTATAAACGTTTTTTGTGCTGTTTTGTGGGTTAGGCTTTTAAAAATAATTAGAATTACAATGTTGTTTTTCTTATTTTATTTTTATAATACATAAGGACTTTCAAAACAAATATGTCATATAGTTCTAAATGTATTGTTTCATTCATTTTAATTATCATATCTTATCTTGAAGCGATTAATCAATGTGACGATTGAGAGGTTTGGACAATTAGACTGTTTGGTGAACAATGCTGGGTGGCGTAAGTCAACGTTTTATTCACCCTTGTTACATTTTTTTGTACTTTGAACTTTTTATTTGTTTTATTTTATTTTAACCAGAGGCTTTTAGATTTATTTGGAGAAAAATTCTATTATTATTTATTTTTTTATTTTTTACAAAATAGTAATAATTTTTTTCTAAATAAATTGTCTAATAAATTAATAAAGAAATAGATTTTTATTTCAATCCTCTATCAGACCCCCCTCACAAGACCACAGATGAAACCACTGCAGAGGAGTTTAGAGACCTGCTTAATCTGAACCTCATCAGTTACTTCCTTGCTTCAAAGGTAAGGAAGTGATGTAAAAAACTTTGGTTTGGTCTATTTACTTGTGCAGAATGACTGCTTTTTTCTTTTTTAACCTCTTTTCATTACCTTGGGTCAGTATGCACTGCCGTATCTGCGTAAAACACAAGGAAACATCATCAATTTGTCCAGCCTTGTCGCCTCAATAGGTCAAAAAGATGCGGCTCCCTATGTGGCAACCAAGGTGAGTTTCTCTGCTTGTCCCGAGTGCTTTACCTGATCGTCTTACAAGTTGGAAGTAACAGTAATACTCACATATATCCACAAGGGGGCCATCACTGCCATGACTAAAGCAATGGCTGTGGACGAGAGTCGCTATCAAGTGAGAGTGAACTGGTGAGTGCCATTACCCCCAGTCCCCTTGACATCTAAAGCTGTCCCTTACTTCGTTATTTATATCTTAATCTCTGTTTCTAATCCTATTGAATTTCTATCTGTGAACATGCTGTTTACTAACATTCAAACTCTTTTACAGCATCTCTCCAAGCAATATAATGACACCTCTGTGGGAGGAGCTTGCAGGCCACACAGAAAATGCTGCTGCCACTGTTAAGGGGGGAGAAAATGCTCAGGTAAGTGTTCATAAGGCTAAATGAGCAATAGAAGAATGGTGTTCTGCTGAATATATTACAGTAACATATTTCTACTCAACAGCTGATTGGTCGAATGGGAACGGAGACTGAGAGTGGATTAGCTGCCCTCTTCTTGGCAGCTGATGCCACTTTCTGTACTGGGATAGATTTGTTTCTAAGTGGAGGGGCTGAACTGAACTACGGCTTCAAAAGCCAAATTCCATAACCAGACTGATGGAAAGCTCGATGAAATGACTTTGCAGATTTTTCTAAATCATTGCACCATTTCAAATCATTGTGCAAATTGATTTGCACAACTTTTATTTGAACGAGTTTAAGCTGAATGTTAAACAATCACATTCTTGAAAGTTTACTTAACTTCTAAGCAATTAAAAATTGTTTTTCTTTTACTTGCCATTTCGTACTTTCATGCTGCTTCATGATCAGGTAAATGGTGCAATAATTGTTCAATTTAAATTTAAGCCAGTTGTTTGTATATCTAATAGTAATAGGACTTTTCGGTGTATCCATGAAATCTTAATTAATTAATCTAAATGCTGAGTTTTTCATTTTTTTATGCAAATATTAGTTAAATATTATATGAAAGGGACCTGCACTGTGAATTACAGTACCATGAATGTGCAAAGACTTACTGATGTTTACATGTAAACATTCCCTGGACAGTTTGTTGGACAATGATCCAATTTTATCTGTGATGTAATGATTTTTCAAATCTTTAATGAGTCTTGACAGGTTGTGATTTGCTTCATACATTGTATTTCTATTGTTTGTAGTAATTAAAAAGCTTCATTAATTTACATTGTTGTCAGATCATTTAATAGTAGCTAGGAAAAGTATGTCAGAACTTCTTTAAAATGCCACCTATGGGGATTATTCTGAGATAGTAATATAAGCCAAACCGTGTGCAGTGTTGATACTGTTGTGAATCTTTTGATATCAAAACGTTGTGGCCATTAAAAGATCTGGTGAGTCCTTAACTGTATTAAACAGCTGGAAATGTGCTGCTTTTATGGTATATGCAAGTTCAAAGACAGTAAATACTAATGACTGAAGAGCTTAATCTAATAATAAAGATTGATGAAAATTTTGATTGAGACAGAAAATAAAATTTCTAATCCTAAATCCATTAAATATGCAAATGGAAAACTAGGTTTCTGTGCAATCTAAAGCTACACAGGCTTGTTTACAATAGTGACCAACACAGATGACAGGCTATTTTTATTTTCATCAGCTGAAGGTAGTGACATAAAATATATGTCTTCAAATGTCCAAAAGCCAATAATTTAACAGGATCGGACCAACGCCTCATATACTGGCCAATGAATGGAATGTTTCCTCATAACCTTGTTTAACCCCGGTGATTGCGTAGTTTGACCCCTACTTTTTTATCCAATCAGATGCGAGAGCTCCGTCACGCCTACCCTCGGGTTATTATTAACCCTTTGATGGATGGGAATAGTTTTGTTTGTAACATTAATGACTTAAAATTCATATAAAGACGATAAATATTATGATATAACCGACTATTTATTAAACCATATCATATGAGTGTTCAGAAATATCCTACTTATTTAGAAAGCCTGAAGTTTCCAGCATTTGAATTTTTAAGGCTATATCCTCCTGCACATCACGAATAATAACATTTAAGATATTTCAAACGAGCCTTCTGATGCAAATATCACACTGGCCTGTTTTGAAAATTATGCGAATGAGCTTAAATGAAAATTGAAGAAACTTTTAACGATTCAAACCCTGAGCACATTGCCTCTGTTTTCTTAAGGGGTCCAATCCGGAACGCAGAGATCAACCAGTCCCGGGCTGCTGCTCCCACTCGGACTAGTTTACCATTCATCTCAGCACAGCAGCAATGGCAGCGATCAGGACGGTGAGTTCAAAGATCATTTCACTTATCCCCCTGCCACATCTCCAAATCCTTCTGTCAATAATTAACGGCTCTGTCTAAATACTCTCGACGTGTATGGAGTTTATTTAACAGAACAGAATTTAGCAGCTTTAAACTGCAGATCATCGTCGTCGTTGCAAATCGACAACTCGCAAGTTTCAGTGATCACATGAGCGGGATGCATATTTTTAAGCGTTTGATTTTACATTTGGATAAAACATCAGAGGGTCATTTGTTGATTCTCACTCTGAATTGCTGTTCATACGCAAATCTGCCTGTAAATCGGCAATCGCGGATTAACGCTTGCGTTGTGAACGAGAGCAGTATTCCACGTATTTCCGTATGAACGCACGCGCCTATGGCAAGACGTCGTAACAATCATTCATAAAAATATACAAAATAAATACATTTTATTTTTTTTTATGTTTCCAGACAAACAAAAAATATATAATAACATAATAATAATAATATTCTATAATATGATAATATTCTACAATATGATATAATGTTATAATAATAACATTATATAATAATAATACTATAATGACTAGTAAGGTTTGCAGTTTTACTTGTAGCAATTTATCAGATAGATACTAGTATTCATTCCAGTAATAGTAATCAATGTCTTTTCAGTTAATGAGTCACTAGTATTCATTTACTATTAGTCACTATCCAACAAGTAACTATTCCACTTTTGCTGGTTACGGTTTGCAAATATAATCAATAGGGATCTGTGATATTAACTAACCACTTCTGCCTAGTATGTAATCCACTTGTTGCTGGTAGGTATTCCTGTTTCACTTGTAACTTATCATGCAGTGTTTGTACTTATATTTTAGGTACTAAATGTAACTAAATGTTTAATCTTTCTAGATTTTAATATTGAAATTTAGTTTTTAATGTTGAACTATAAAGTTTTGACTAGTCATTACATATAAGTGAAAAGCCATTGTAAATTGTGAGATAAAAAAAAAAATCAGTTTCATAGTAGTGTCCTAATACTAAAAATATGTAAGTACTACTTAAATTATAGTTACTAGTAATGCTGGAATGCTACTTGGAAGTGAACTGTTGCAACTTTTGCCTTTGAACTCTTTTCACTTTTCTACCAGTAACTTTGGTGTTATAGTTGACAATATTTTGGTAGTGACTGGTAGCAAAGAGATAACTGAATGAATAATTAGTATGCTGAAGTTGAAAATGATACTAGTCACTATCGGTTTACTTAATAATAATTAAAATAATACTATAGTTGCAAAATTATATGCTAGTTAGTTTTTCAGGAACTAGTGGTAAAATATCTTGCCATAAGACGCTTTTGCCTGCCAAATTATGCACAGAGTTTGGCAAGGTCTCCCGACAGAGCTATCGTGTAGCCCTGCTATATTATTTATTATGTAAACAAATGTCTAATAAAGCACGAAAACAAAACTGTAATAAGAGTAGGACTAGTGTGTGTGTCTTAGAGTAAAATAGGCAAACACACATTTCCTTTCTTTGCTTTACTTATTCACTCAGGGTTTTTTAGCTATTAAAAAGCACTGCTACTGTGAGAGCCAGCTGTCTCCTTGTGCACAAATGCAGGTATATACAGCTAGTACATACTAAACCTTCACATCTCACGAGGGCTATACAACAGCTGTCAAGAAGAACGTGCTCTGTGTCTGATTGGGTTATGAAAGGAAACGGTTGAAGTCACTCTCTGTTTCTGTGTTTTAAGGCACTGAATGGACGCTTTCTTCAGCCTCTCTCCCTGTCATGTGGGTCGTTGCGGTTCGTCAGTTCTTCCTTTAAGGTATTGAAACAACCTTGTTGTGCTAGGTTTATGCACCACTTTTTTTCCATGCCACCATAGGTCAGCCTGGGCTTTCAGGTCTTGTGATTGATTATGTGTGTTTGTTTCAGTTGGCTCAGAGTTTACGATCCCATTTTTGGGGCAATGCAGGTCTTCCAGACCTGTAAAGTTGCATTTTCTGAAGTGTTAAGCAGGCCACGGTGTCACCTTGTGGGATCTGATGTCTCTTTTCTTTGTGCTTTTGCCTTCTTGCATGCTTTCTTTTTTTCCAACACCCCCTTCCCTTCTCACTGCAATTTAATTTAATTCAATTTCCATAAGAGCTTGACTGGCATGATGAATCCAGATTTTTCAAATGCATGTGCAATCAATGATAATGAATAAACTCCTCTCCACGTGCCCGCTTTACTCCCCGCCCCCCTCTGTCTTTTCGTTTTCTCCCCGTCTTTTTCTCCCCGTTTGTTTGTGTCAGGCTGCAGATCTTACCATAGAGAGGAACCCTGTAGTGAAGCCAAAGCCAGACCCCTCAACCCTCGTGTTCGGCAAGCAGTTTTCCGACCACATGCTGACCATCAGCTGGTCTGCGGCAGGAGGATGGGAGGCACCTCAGATCAAGGCCTTTCAGAATCTGTCCCTTCACCCTGCTTCCTCAGCCCTGCATTACTCCATAGAGGTGAGGGAGTGTGTGAGCCACATGGTTCCTAGCATCTTTTTTTCTCATTTATTCAAAAGCAAGTTGACTTTATTTCCCAAGTATGCTGTTTTTATCTGAATTCTGTCAGATGCTGTGCCCCAACAAACTGTGAAAATGTAGAAATGAAGTGTCTGCGCAATATATATACATCTCCTTGATATTGTGATTGCAATTAATAATTTATTAAAATATTGTATTAAATTATTATTATTTTATGTATGTATATGTTGTTTATAATTCTTAATCTTATACATTTAATACAAAATTTGTTAATTTTATATTACATTAAATAATCTTGAATATATAGTTAATTATGAAGCTTGACAGTGATGTTTATATGCAATACTGCTCAAAAGTTTGGGGTCAGTACGTTTTTTGTTGTTTTTTGGAAAGAAATTAATGAAGAATGAAAAACATTGATCAAAAGACACAGTAAAGGTATTAACAAGTTTACAAAATATTTTAATGCAGATAAATGCTGTTCTTTTCTATATTTATTTACATTTTTAGGAATCCTGAACAAAATAATGTATCACGTTTCCTATTTGAACTATTTTCAACATTGATAACAATAACAATTTGAGCCCACAAAACAGCATATTAGAATGATTTCTGAAGGATCATGTGACACTGAAGACTGGAGTAATGACTGCTGAAAATCAGCTTTGCCATCACAGGAATACATTTTAAAATATATGTGACCCTGGACCACAAAACCAGTCTTAAAGGGTTAGTTCACCCAAAAATGAAAATTAGCCCATAAATTACTCACCCTCAAGCCATCCTAGGTGTATATGACGTTCTTCTTTCAGGCGAATCCAGTCGGAGTTATATAAAAAATTGTCTTTGATCTTTCAAGCTGTTTCATGGCACTCAGCGGTTGTTGCATGCATCCGTCCAAAAGCAGTTAAATAAAATGCGCCCATCCATTAAAAAAAAAAGTGTCTCACACGGCTCCGGGGGGGTGAACAAAGGCCTTCTGTAGCGAATCGATGCGTTTTTGTAAGAAAAATATCCATATTCAAAATGTAATAATCACTTTAATGTAGCTTGCGCTCACTGTTGTACACTGGAAGCAGGTCAGCTTTGCGCATGATGTATAAATCTCAATTTCGAAAAATTGACCCTTATGACTGGTTTTGTGGTCCAGGGTCACATATTAGAATAGAAAACAGCTATTTTAAAATATAATAATATTTCAATATTCGTATTATAATTATATTATTTTTATTGTATTTTCTAACAAAAAAAATGCCTCTGTGAGCTTGGTAAGGCTGAGTAATCTTATTGCTACAGCTAGTATTTCCATGAATGTTCTGCACAGTTATTTGACCTTGTCTTAATATAGGTTTATTTAATATGATC